AGGATCGGGAGATGGAGAGGAATACGCGCCAGGTATAAGGGTTGCTAGACCCATGCGGGAATAAGTTGTTTATTCCCGAAAACCGAGAACGATCGAGGAGCTAAAACAGTGCTAAAGTATTTCAGTTGTTACAATTCTGAAGGTGGAAGAAAATTGTCTTCGCCGTATTTTGCCTTACAAGCAGCAGGATGGAAAACATACTGAACAACTTTTATGAAATAAATACGGAGTTTCCATACTATTTGTTCTCTGCTCCAGAATTCTGTCTCTGACGTAGTTAGCAAGGTCATTCAAAGCGAAAAAAGCCAGCTGGTAAAACTCCAAAAACAGTTTTGTGTTGGTCTACTTTAGTGGATGTTGTAGTCCGTATTTAAGACAAGTTCAAGTCTTATTATGATTATCCGTTTACCGAACTCTCTTAGGAAAATAGTACGTGTATCTTAGACGAGTCAACCGTTGGCCCAATGTCATCATCGCTTGAACTTTTCGATTCCCTTCTTCCCAAATGACGCATCGTTCCACAACTGGTTGTACTGTGATCATTCTGTACCAACACTTATCCACCTCCTGTGCCAACCCCAAAATCACACGACCGATCGGGTTCATTGATCGTTCGGTAGGATAGTTCAGCAACAACAAGGAACCTGGTGCTTGCCCAGCTAATCCGAGCGAGAACCCACGCCTTGTCCACAACCGCGAGTCTTTAGCAGAACCAGTGACCTTCGACTGTAAGGCACGCATGCCTTCACCACACGAATGGACTGTACGTGAAAACAAGGTCATCAAAAAAGTACAAGACAATGTGAAACGATGGAGCAGTCGCACATAGCAACATGACATCTTAAATTGAGATTGTGACATCTTGAGTTGATGTTGTGACAGTAAATTGATACTCATACATCTTAAATTGATGCTCTGACATCTTAAATTGATATTCGAACATGTTTAATTGAAAAAAGTATAGTAGTATAATGGTTGTAGAAGTCGTAGCAGTAATACGCACGGAATTCGGAACATCAACCACGCAATAGGAATCACAGGACCCGAATCGATAATCGGCTATCAGGACTGGATCGCAGAAGCAATGTCCCACGAGAACGAGACGCGAGGAAGAGACCAGAGAACAGGCAGCAAGTAG